TGCAAGGAGCACGAACTACCTTGGGTCCCAAGCCTCGCAAAGCTGTGACCCGAGCTGACCCATGGCAGTTCGGAACACTCCCCAAACCGAGCTCAAGACATCTCGCTCACCACTCCAGCACTTCGCTTCCGAAACACCAGGCTGACCAAACGTACCTGACACCAAGGATGTCCGTATCCAAGAGCGGCGCACCTGACTGATTTGGGATCTGACGCCTGACAGCCGCACTTCAAATGACCTCCTGCTACCGCCACCTGCCACCGTCGTTACTAGCCGCAGAGACGGCTCCAACAAAAGGAGCAGTGGCGGTTCTATCTGGCCAGAGGAAATGACATCCGAATTGGCAGGAGCTCAGAAATAATCATGCCCGATCTGACGGAAGCCTGGAAGTGAGTGCGCGAGGTGGTTATAAAAGGCTTCTACACCCCAAGAACGAGGTATGCTAACTTTGCGCTATCTGGTCTATCTTGCCTTTGAAAAACTCTAACTTGAGCTTCGGAGCCCTTACGCCGGGTTCTCCCCAGAGCTTCTTCTCTCCCTCCGTTTCAGGTCCCTACCACTCAGTTCAGAGGCAAGATCGTTGACAGCTAAGATCGGCCGGATTGTGCATCATCAATACCCATCTTCTAGGTGGATAAATTTACATTCCCATTTAAGGAAAAGTTGTCAACACATGGATGGGATAAAAATGCCCTTTTGATAATGAAATTTTTATGACTAAAATGATTATTATTTTATTTACCTGTGAAATAAAAGAATATGGATAAATGCACTTACCCGAGAAAATATTTCCCAAACACTTGCCAGGTAAATGCCTGGATAAGTAAGGTCTTAGAGTCCTAACACAACCTTAAAACTTCGGGTTAGGCTAAGGTTAGGTTGTCCTCTACCCGACCTTACTCGACCTGAGTTGCACGGTTGTACCGCTATATAATCTAAAACGATTTTATCCAAGGCTAACTTACTCCCCTCTCTTTAATTTTCCGGGGTATTTAGGCCCAGTTCGCTTTTCGATAAATTATTTATCCGGGTAAATGCAGTTACCTGGGTAAGTTTTTCCTGGGAAACACTTACCCAGATAAGTGCATTTGCCCATGTTCTTTTATTTCTCATGTAAATAAGGCAATGACCATTTTAACCATAAAAATCCATTATTAAAAGGGGCATTTTTGCCCCATTCAAGTATTGGCAACTTTCCCCCTAGGTGGGAAAGTTATTTACCCACCTAGTAGATGGGTATCACTGGGTAAGTGGTACCCAGGAAAATAAACTTTCCCTGGTGAATAACATTGGCCAACTTTCCCTCCTCTCAATATCCAAAAAAAAAAAGAACGCCCCCTTAATCTTCAAATGGCTGCCTTGTGAATAACAACATTTCATGGTCTAAAAAAAGGTTTAACCAAGCATTAAACTCTCAAAACCTTCAGACTACTAATCTACTACTACCCAAGAAACCACTGACCCACACAAGCAAATCTACTAATCTACTACTAAGCCAAATTCTTTTAGCTACTGATCCATGCATCACAAATTTGTTACATTTATTGATTGTTTTGACAAGGAACTGCATAACCTATGTCCAATACTGCTTGCAA